AAACACTCAAAATCCATAATAGTACTTCATACGCAAAATAATCTAATGTACTAATTTTATCTTAACATTAAATCACTAATTTTACCTTAACATGAATCTCATGTTAAAACCATAATCTTTCCTAAAATTATGCTAACACTTTTCCACTGCTGGTTCGAATTAAGTGCGATGAATTTTAGAGCTTTCTTCCTTCACTTTTCTTCATTAATTTATACCAGCAAACAATTTATTCCGATACATTAAGTAAAATCTGCAATTTTTATTTTAAGAGACATTTCAGATTTTTTCTTAGGTATTAAAGAACAGTTCTACACTTCTGGTTCTTCCATTACTGCTGGTGTTCACAGGAGGCTGAGTAAGTAGTTTGCAACTTATTCTGTTGTTCTTCTGACTAATCTCACTTGTCCGACTTAATGTGCACAAGCCCACGGAGTACAAGACTGTCTGTAATTAGCAAGAGCTTTGGACATCCCATAGGTGATAGTACGATGATTTTGCCCTGCCTGACAAGGAGATAACTTTAATTTTTTGTGCATTGAAAATTTTATCTTTCTGCCCTTTGACCAAATTCTTTGTTCTTGCTTAGAACTTTAATCGCAAAAATTGCTTTCTTTATCCGTTTTTAACTGTATTTGTGTATTTTACAATTTTAATTTTTTAATTTAAATTTTACAATTTCAGTATTTTACAATTTTTAGTGAAATTGTTTTGAGTTTTTATATATTTTTGTTTTACCGGGAATTGAGAAATGAATTGATTGAATAACAAGTATATATCTAATAAAATTCGAGGAAATAGAGTTTAAATGAAATGTAGCAAAATATGGGCATAATTTAATTCGTGGAAGGTATGTGGTGGCCATATCAGATTAAAAAATGTTTTTTGTTACTAAACAAGTCATTTTGTTGTTCCACTATAAACATCAGAACAACTTGTGAAAGAGAAGATTTATCCTAATCTGCATGTTTACATTCCATTCTTAACCGAAAGTAAGACAGATTAATGTGCTAGTTCGTTTATTCCTTCCAGAATATGTGTAACCGCTCCAGAAATAACCATAAACCAATTGTACAATCCGTAAAGTTCTGACGCAAATTAAACATGAATATAATCACGAAAAACCTCAAACCATTATATTAACTTCTGCATTTTATTATACTGCATTTTTCAAATAACCTGGTTTACTCTTTCGATGATAGCCAGTGGGCCGTTAGCTCTACAGGCATTTACCTCGTTGTTCATAATCAGTGAGCGAACTTTTGAAGGCTTGTTATGGCGAAGTACGATTAAAGGTTAGTATAGTTCTACTGTCGCAAACGCAACTTTGGCTGACATTCTGCCAAAACACGTAGACTCGTCCAGAAGGGGCGTTATTACTTGCTCCGTCATGAAAGATCACGTAAAGGTCTTCTCTTCTCCGGAAAGAGAGAATTTATATGCTTAATGGAAAGAAAGTTTCCTTGCGCCTTGTACTGAGAATAATTCAGTCTGAATGGCGCATGCGTGTTAGCGCTCATGGTCGCGAATGAGGATGTCGAACTATATAATGTTTATGAAATACAGCAGAAAAGTACTGTCGTCAGTTTGTCTTGAGAAAGACGGAACGCTTAAAAGCTAATTGTAAGCAACGCTGATCGCTTGTGAAATCTGTTTCTTTTTCTTTTCTTTTTTTTTTTTTTTTTTGGTTTGATTTCTGTTATACACAAGATGTTTTAGTTTTATTATGGTATTTGCATTGAACATATGGCAACGATTTGATAACTAATCATGTGATATATTTTTTTGCATGTTCTTTTTCTTTAACGTAATAGAGAAGTTACAGAAGTACAGAGAGCGCTTGAGTGTCTCTATAGTAAAATAAACATAATAAATTTCAAAATAGTGATTACGTTTATTCTGCAACATGTTTATGTTTATATTTATGAGGGTAGCAGCACGAAATGAAAATTTACGTACAGCTAAATCATCGTTAACGAGATTACAAAGTTAACACAGCCGATAGACTAGTTCTGTTGTCCAACGAAAAGATAATTCAGGAGATATTCTGACACATGGTGTCCGAACTGATTTCCCTGTGGGCAGTTCCAAATGGTGGTCAGGTTGTGACTTTGTAACACATCCAGAAATTCCTGAACAGGACTTGTCAATTGAGCTTGCTGAAGAAGTTTGTCCAAACGAAGTTAAAAGGGTCAGTAAATTACATTGACGATTCTAACTTAGCTTAAATTGCATTAAGTGAACTAAAACATTATTAATAATATTCTTAATTTGTCTGCTAATTGTCATAAACTTATTCGTACTGTAATGACTGTAAGTTTCATTTTGAAGTTTGTCCATAGTTGTAAGAATCCCAAAGTAGGGAAATAGGGATTACTATCTTTACAAGATATAAAAAGAGCTGAGCCGTGGATTTTATTAGAAGCCCAAAAAAAGGGAGTTCGGGGAAGATATAAAACAATTAAAATGGGGTAAGTGTGTTCAACCCAAAAGTAAACTAGCATCCCTGGATATCTTTCTTGATAACATGGGACTAATTAGAGTGTGCGGATGATTGTCCCATTCGGATCTACCTACAAATAGTAAACACCCTGTGGTTTTACCAGGTAAGTTTCGTTTAACTACTATTATTTTGGAGTATATTCATTTAAAATACTTTATTTAGGATCACAATCTCTGTTACATCATGTACGACAAAGGCTCTGGCCAGTTAATGTCAAAAGGAGTTGTAAGCGATAAGCGATAAGCGACGGAGGACGTGGGCACTGTTCCTTTGCCATTCGGTTAATCAGTACAGCACCACGTCCACCCTTATCTAGAGTTGGCCACTTGGTGTGGCCACACGAGAGCCTCGCACAAGACTCCGAGATCCAGCGCCTAGATCCGGTGGGCAGTTGAACAAACCAATATGCCCCCGGAATTCCCCCTCATCCGATCGCCCGGGCCCAGCATTTATTGAAACAATATCAATCAATATATGGCCATACAAGGGCTTTGTCAACATGGTATGAGAGACTGTTGTTATTGCTACATGAGAATGACCTACACATTCTTGGTTATTACCTAAATAAACATTACAATATATACAATTGTGTATTGTACATTATGCTATACTGTACCTTATATTGCGTCCGGAAGGAGCTGTAAAACGATCGTCTACAAATGTGTGATATGTTTTAAGAGTAAACCCGTCACACTTCAACAGTTTCATGGCTGATTTGCCCTAACAGCGCGTTAAACCAGCTAACCCATTTAACAATACTGGTGTTGATTTCTGCGGTACATTTGATATAAAAGTTAAGTATCAAACAAGGGAATATAGAACAAAATCTACGTCGTAGTGTACGTATGAGCAAAAAAGCTATACTGTTAGACATTGAAACATACCAAGCTAGCCAATCTTTTATTGCAAGCTTGAAACGTCGTTCTTTAAAAAAGGAGAAATGTTTTAAAATAATGAGTGATAATTCTAAATCTTTTACTGGAACTAATCTATAAATAAATAAAAAAAAAAAAAACTGTAAAAATTGCTTGAGTGTTCATACAAGAATTTAGCGAATTTTTATATAACTGAAGGTATAGAGTGTAAATTCATTCCTCTCAGGCAGAAATTCCCATATTTCACCAAAATTTGGGAAGCCGCGGATAAATCGTTGAAGAGTTATTTGAAAAGAGTTGGTAATCAGTGTTTAACTCTAAGAGAATTCTTAACTATTTTAACTGAAATTGAAGGAGTATTGAACTCAAGATATCTCATTCCAGTTTCAGATAACTGTAGCAATTTTAAAACTTTGACCTCAGGTCACCTTTTGGTCAGTAGAACTTTACCAACCCTTGCTGAACCAGATTTATCCAACATAAATGAAAACAGACTTCCTAAATGGCAAAAAATTACTAAGCAGATACAGAAAATTTGGAAATTTTGGAAATGTAATTATCTTAACAATTTACAAGAGTGTCACAAATGGAAATTTTTATAAGAAGAAGTTTAGTTGAGATTTACTTAATTATTGGGGAGAATAGCTGAGATTTTTCTTGGTAGGGATGAATGAGTTAAGAGCAGTAGCTTTATTACTGCCTAAATTTATTGACGAAGTACAGTAGTGTCTTGCACGAATCATAATATCTTTAATACAATCACGACATTAGCAAACATCCCGTTTTCGCAAATGTTGCTACTCAAAGTGACGTAAGATCTTTAATTCTCTTTCAAATCGTAATTACGAAAGGGAAATTAGAAAGTGAAAGAAAAAAGGAAAATTAATCTTTTATTAGAAAATTAAATATTTAATAGAAGTTAATGGACATTTTAATTTTTATAATTTTTTAAAATATTATTTTAATAATCTATTTAATTGTATAAATTATGTTTAGTTTTGGTGTAAATTATGTTATGTAAACCTTTACTATACAATTCATCACACTGATAATTATTAACATTTGCAATCTTAATATATTAGGTACTCTCACCCTGTATTTTATATCATACGCCAAAATCTTTTTTTTGTTTTGTCGTGATCTAAGAACGCAAAAGCAGATGACAATTTAAGCAAACTGAATACATTTCTGGAATTTTTTCATTAGTTTTAACTCTATGCATATAGACTGTCTGTTGATCGTAAGCAATTACACAAAATATTGATTTATTAAATATATTTAATTAACTAAGAATTTACTGATTTTAATCCTATTTATGACTTTCAGAGTACTGATATTTGCTTAGCAATGTTGTTCTTTTTCACAACCGAATACATTTAAATAACAGATTATTTCAACAAATGTAAATTATCATACTTTTACGAAAGAAATCAGGTTTAGTATATAAAATCTCAAATAGAAAAACAATTTTTCTATTATGTATTTTTCAGGGAAAGAAAGAGACCAGTGTATTAGGAGATAAGTCATATCGATGTTTTCTTATCACATCACGTCAGTGCCTATCTTACGTCGCAACGCTATAAAAATGTCAGTGCCATGTCATGAATAATACTTCGGTTAAATTTCTAAGCATAAAATAAAGCCGAAGATGAGCCTTAAAGAGTCAACTGGTCAACTGGGAGATTACTCCCAGTTGACTCTTTATTTATATAATACTTTACGTATACTGTTGCTAGTAGCTGCGCTATATTTAATACTGGGAATTTATTTAAGAAGAAGAAGCCTTACTAAAATTTTAAATAAACTTCCTGGTCTTAAACTAAAATTTTATTGGATTTTTGGTCATATTCATTTAGTTTTGGCTTGGAGATTTCGAAAAAGTCAAGTATCGCCACACGTATGTAAGTAATGTTTCTTTAAACGTTAAAAAATCTAACACAGTAAAAATTTAAAGATGGTTTTCTAACATAAATTATTTAATAATGTTTGAATTTTAAATGTCCTAAAAATGCATTCATAGTTTTACGATATGTGTAAAGGAGTTCTAATGATTTAAAAACATTTGTTTTGTTTGTCAACGAACATGATTATACTTCAGTTCACTATGTTAAGATATTTAAAGCATATTCCCAAATATTTAAAGCATATTCCATATTTTTATATCCAGTCTTTTGGATTCGATTACTTGTGCTATAGTAAACCACAGGAGAGGTTGTGCCTAAAGGGAACAGTGCCTTCAGAAAGGACACTTTAAGAGAAACTGGCTCGTATTTCACATTACTTTGAGGAAAACCATGAAAACATACATGTAGGCAGCCCTGTGTCAGGGATTTGAAACCGGGTTGAATTATCAGTATTCAGAATTTTTTTTTATCAGCCCCTGCTGGGTTTCAGTGTTTGATTAATATCACATCAGCTGTGAGCAGGAACTATCAAAATTTAGGGTGCTACTTTGGTAGACGGTTGCACGGATTTTGGCGATTTTTTGGCGAGCGATACGACTTATGGTAAACCCATTGCTAGACAAGTTATTTATGGTAACCGATACTTTGTTGTCATTTTATTTAAAAAATAATGCGTTTTATTATGCATAAACTCAGTGTTTTAAATATTATTTATGACTTCTAAATAATAAAAATGAATTTAATTTTGCATTTTTATTTGAAATAAATTTTTATTGTTTATGATATTTTATGGAATTTTATGTTGTGTGTGATGTAATGAATGACGTCACATTATTTTAAAAGTAATTGGTTTTAATATCTATAAATTTAATCTAATGTTTTAAACATTATTTATGGCTGTTAAATATTAAAACACAATTTAATTTTGCATTTTTTAAATATGATTTTATATGAATGATTATTTAAATAATTTTAATTCTAGGCGTGATGTAATCAGCTCCCTGATTGGTTACTGAATATTTGTGCATTACCGCGCCATTTTAAAATTTTATTATTCATCTCTTCGAATTCCTCAGATTTCAAAGCAAATGGATGTCTCCGTTTCGAAGATGAATGTTGTTAGTGGTAATTACCAAGAATTATTGGTATCGCCATAAAAAAATTGCCGTTTGAGACCTTATTTTGGCCAACCTGGATTTCCTAATCAAAGATTTATTTATTGTTACAAGGGTCAGAGGAAATTTATTTAAAATATTTGAAGGAAACCTCGCTAATTGCTTCTTCAATGAAGTGCGAGAAATGTGGATAACAGATGAAGATTTTTTTTTCCCTGGTGCTTATCAATATGCGTATAGTAAAATGCTTAAAAAAATGTAAGTACATATTTTTCTTTTACTTTATTATTCTATACTTCAATTTTTATTAAAAATTTAATACATATTTTTTAAAATTTCCTGAGATATTTATTGCTACATGTTTTAATGTTAAATAATTATATCCTATAAAACTTATTTTAAAGGATTTGAATTTAAGTAATTGAAAAATTTTAATTCTTTTAAACGTTGGTATGATGTTTTTAATTCAATATTCAATTTAAGTAATATTTTATTCCAATTAAATGTTGGCGCAATGTTTTTATTCTATTATATGAAAGTAATAATTTAACCTTACTTTAGCATTTTATACTCTTAGTAAATGTATTTATTTACATTTGTCAGCCATCTTAATGAAAACAACGTTTTCAACAAAAAATTGATCCATTATTTTTAACGATATTTATTTTTTTAAAGTTTCGAATACTTTACTATACTTGAAATATGTAAAAACAGCATTTTTCAAGATGGCTGACGACTGTAAAAACCGCGCCAACAATTGCGCCAATGTAAATCGCCAAAAACCGTGCAACTGTCTACCAAAGTAGCACCAAATTTAGTTTCGATAATGTGTATAATTCATTTTATATTTCTCTTAAAGCTTACTAATTTTAACTTCCTATTATAAGAAAAATAAGCTCTACCGAAACGTTCTTTAGATTTCTGAATTTTTTAACTTTCTTGATTTCAAGACTTTCTTCTTTAGTTTTGAAAGATTAAATTTCCTCTCTCTTTTTTTATAACAGTAAAACCGATCGCTGTCAGTTATATGTCTTCAAATACAGTTATACGTAATTTGTTATCAGAACTACGTTCCTTTTCATGCGGTAAATGATTTCTATCAAATAATTATATATTTGGTTTCACTGTCTACCACATATCCCAGAAGAAAATAATGGATACTGTATTCTTTTTTCTTTTTTGGAAAAAAAATCTCTTTCAATATTTCCTGAGTAGTTAGTCGGTACATTAAATCTGCCAGTATAACAGTATATACTGTAACACGTGAGCTGTAATTACAACTACAAAACACGTGAACTTCTTTTTTCTCTTTTTTTCTTGCCACCCTTTTCTTATGAAGTTATTCTTTGTTTATGGAGTTTTTAGAACATTCAGAACCCACTGTTTTCAAAACAAAGACGAAATTCGTCGAGATGAATGACGAATTTAATTTCGAGTTTTATTATTGAATGTGGACTGAAGTAAGAATAAGTGCATAAAAATTTCCATCCCCCATAAATTTGTCTAGGCAAATTAGTGCTGTGTCTCTTTTTGATTAGTATGAATTTATTTCTTGGTTCCTGGGTCATGATTTACAAATTTAAAATGTACATAAATAAAATTTGATTTCACTATGAACGCATTGATGTCAATTTGTATGTTCACTAATTTATTCTATTATGGTGTAGCAACCGTGTCCTACATTGCTAATAGATATTAAACTTATATTGCCAATAAAGTTTTATGAAAACAGATGCAAACGACAGAGTACAGATTAAACTCACAGTTTATAATTACATTCAGTGAAATTTCTGAAGTTGTATTTATATTATTTTCAGATGACTTTCTCTTTATAAATGGCTACATGCAAATTTTTATAAAGGAAAATGTGACAAATATTTGGCAGTTCTACATTCCTTTCATAACAGTCTACAAGGCGGATTCTGTGGAAGTGAGTAATATAAAGTGTTAAAGAAAATTTGCCGTATAATATGCAACTTTATTTATAATTTCAAAGCTCACAAACTTAATTTCTATTTCTAATAATATATATATATATATATATATATATATATATTACCAAATTAAATATCTTTTAGATGCACTGAGTATGTTTTAAAATAGTATTTTCGTAATGTGCCGCTATGTTTTCGTTAAAGCAAAACCTTACTATGTATTATAGCACGATGGTATTGCAGCAAGTAAAACGGTTTTAATTCAGTGTGATAATCAAAGAAAAATAGTATTATTCAATTTAAATATTTAAACAAATGAAACGTTTCTGCTTCCAATGCAAAAATTGGAAGCAAAATCGTTTAAAAAAGTGTGCTCCCTACTTCCGCATTTGGAAAATTTAGATAGAAGCAAATATATTCTTCATAATATATCCGTTCAGGGAAAAAGCTTACATTTCCTTGGCTGTCCATAGTAAGAAGGGAGCAGTAGCGTGTGATAGAGATAATCAGCTCTTGCAACTGACAAGCCGGTTTAAATTTCTGCAGCGTATGACAAAGCTATTAGTCTACCCTAAGCTGTGCCTTTTCCGAGTTTCGTGTCCGGAAGATCCAGTTTTGAATCTCAGAGAAGGCTTGGATGTTTGCAAGCGTACACTGTCTGTGTGGCAAGGAAGCATCAAAAATCGAGAGATTAGCAATAGGGAAATTCTCGGACAATACCCCAGGTGTTTGTCTTTCAAATTCCATTCGGGACGGAAGCTTAGCGGTTAGCAACGTCTGGTGATACCTAATAAATGTGTCTACTTGGATGCACAGGTGCTTCAACCTCTGCTTATATTGAAACGCTGTTGTTGTTCTTGCAAACAAGAGGAGTTTCCGCTTCCCGTTTTTATGTGTCAGGCATGAGAACTTTCAAAATATGTCAAACAGCGCCATATTACTAGTTTATTAATGGCAGATTGCTGATGAAACAGCAATAGCTGAGAGTTAATTTTGAAGATACCACAGGTAACAGAGAATAAATCTGAAACAGGAATAAGAACCTAGTAATAAACAATTTTCCTTTCGAAGCAAAATATAACGTATATGTACAAACAAAGAATTTTGGCTTCAAGATATTATTTGAAAACCTCACTGCTAATAAAGCAATGCAATATGAAACAATTTGCAATAGTTTTAATTTTACAGAACTCTAAGCAAACACTGAGCGAAGATTAGACTCAGAGGACATTGACTTTACTGTCTTGTAGCTGTTCTAATTTCCGTTGTTAGGAATTGAGTCATTTCCATGCATGCTGTCATAGTATAAGTTGATAGGAAGTCCATACAGCTATTGGAAAATCCATGGCTCAAATTTCGTTGAGAGAGTAGATGATTTTTTTATGCTTCCTTTTATGGTCCAACATGTTTAGTGCTACCATTTGTCTTAATAATACTCTTTCTTGGTACCTTTCTTATAACACATCGGTCAGCAATTTCCCAATTCCATATTCAGGGCCCTAATTTTTGCCTCTAAGTAACTTCAGTTTAAAAATTTTTATTATAAATGATCGAGTGTCTAAGACTTTTCTAGAAGACATTTCTTATTTTATTTCTTTAAGAAAAGCCGTGGATCTGCGACCAGCTTTGCAAAAGATACTTAGTTGCTCTGTCGTTCTGAAGCAAGCTGTACATCAAGTTAACATTCATATATTTTAAAAGATCTGTGGAAAATGATTATATTTGAAGCGTAAAAAATCATTTCCTTGCCTTGTAGAAGTAATATCTTTCGGAACACAACACTTGCTTAACTTTTGATATTTATCAAAGTATTGACAGAATACCTCTTTCGGAAGCTCTCAAAGACTATAACCCCGCATCATTTTGAATATATTAAACTATTTGAAAAAGCTTTGCCTCTAGAAGGAAAATAGGACAGACTCTCAAAAAATGAGAAATCTGATATATAGGGTATTAGTGGCATTACAGGGATTTGTTTCTGTTCATTGCAATCCGCGCATCTTTGCTTAATATGCCACTGGTGCTGAATAATCAATTGATGTTTTAACTCCGTTTGCTACATGAAATTACAGCAGTTGAAATATGCTGTCATAGATAGCATCATTTTATACATTTGTTTTACAGAAAGCACGCTAACGCCACCTACCTGCAAAATTCAAGTGTTGCAAATTTCGCGACAATATGCGACTTTTTCGTGAACATCTTAAACAGAGCAAAATAATGTTAATAGCTACAAAACTTCGTTCGTTGCGTCAAGTATTTTGCGTAACCCAAAAATTATATTTTGGGTGCTTCACATTTTTTTACTTCCAGTTGTAATCTTTTTTTTTTTTTGGGTATAGAATTATACTTCAACGAATTTCTTTTATTCTTTCAGATGATACTGAATCATAGCACCCAGCTGAAGAAAGCTTGGTTTTATGATTTGTTACATCCTTGGCTGGGCTTAGGTTTATTAACCAGGTAATTAATTTTTTTATTGATTGAAAGGTGTGAGAAAATCAACAAAATTATCATTCACATATGTATTATTTCATTTACAAAGTTACGACACAAAATGGAAAAGTCGACGAAAGATGTTGACGCCAGCTTTTCACTTTAATATTCTGCATGATTTCTTGCCAGTGATGAACAAAGAGTCAAACATTTTGGTAGAGGTTCTAAGAAAGCACACAACCGAAAAATATGTGGAAATAGTTCCTATCATTACTAAGTGCAGTCTTGATATAATATGCGGTAAGTGAATTCAAAATTTAGAAACCCAATTTTACTGGTATAAATATTTAACATAAAAAATAGTGTTTATTATTTCATTTTTCTTTAAATTTGTAGGAACTATTCTGGGAGCTGAAATATGCGCTCAGACTGACGAAAACTGTCCGTATCTCAATGCTCTCACAAAGTAAGGAAACTTTTATATATTCAGCTAATATTTATAAGCTTTGTAATTTCGGCTAATCGATTTGCAATGAAATATGTTGAAACCACAGAAGAATTGCAAAAAAATTGATTTCATGAGTATAGGAGGAAGCTATATACACATCTTGCACAGTAGCCGTAATATTGTTATATTTGGAGGTGTAAGACTTCTGTGTTGCGCTACGTATTACATGGCATACCAGATATGTATGATAGTGATGAGATCTGGTAATATAGGACTTGAAGACTCTGTTAAATGCTAACCGAACCTTAATTTTGTACATCTAGACTTGCCCTGTCCTGTTAAAAGTAACCCAAAACATCAGAGGTTGATCTTAACAATATGGTAACTGGTAGTTTGGCGACATTTTGGAGGCGATAAACATCAGGGGTTGATCTTTACAATATGGTAACTGGTAGTTTGGCGACATTTTGGAGGCGATAAAGGTTACTACCTGGGACTTTGGTAATAATGTGAGCAGTACTCAGTTCCGATTACGCATTATTTTGTGTGAGGGAAATGAGAGATCATGGGATATGTCATGTGATATTAATGGACGAATTACGGTTCTTTAATCGGAAAAGGGGGGAAATCGGGAAAAAATCTGGAAATTTTGTATTTGGCTTTATTCTGTGTTGTGTGAAACAGTGTTCGTGAATTTTTGAATCCCATGGCCGTAACTAAAGTGAATTCGAAATGGGTATTTAGTGGTATTGAAAAGGGTAGTAATAAATGTTTCTTTAAGGTTGTGCGAGATAGAAATAAAGATGTTTTATTAAGTTATTTATTTTACCTGGTACCTTGCTGTGAAATATAAGTATGATTTTAAAGATCCTGAAACAGAAAGAAGAAAAGTTTATGAGACACGTAATCAAGATTCTGAAGAAGATTAGGTAAATTAGTATTTTTAATTATTTGAGGATATTATTTTTATGCATTGTTCTAAATGTAAGGTGGAAGTAATGGAATTTGGTATTATTGGGAAAATTGTTATTAGCAATGATTTAGTTTAAAGTAATTAGGATTGTAAGGTAATTTTTATTAATTTAATGTATGTGCTCATTTATATTTTAAGTAGTGTTTTTGAATTTAATTATATTTTAATTAAATGATAGTTATTTTGTGAATTTTATGTTTGTAGGAATTTGGTATATACGTTTTAGTTGAAGTAAACGTGCATGGAAATAATTTAAATATCTGACACTAAGTATTTGTAATGGTTGCGGTATGAATTCGTTGGTGACGTTATAATGTAATAGATGATTTAGAGGTAAAAGTTTTTGGATATTTTATTTATTTTATATGTGGAAATGTTATATTTGGAAAGGGTAAATACTTTTTCGCGATCAGGTAATTTCATATATGTTATTTTTACCGGGTTTAAAGATTGACAAAATTGTCATGTATTTTCGTGAAATTTTTCTAATTTATGAGAAAAAAAGCAGTTGTACATGGATATAGTGAAGAGTGTGCGCAATGCCATTTTTGTGCAATTCTGGAATGTTTTTTTAAGTAAAAATAAGTCGGCGTGTACATGGTTTATGTGTATGTGTTATTTTGAAAAACGCGTAAGGAGTATGGTATTGTGCACTTTTTCCCAATTTTGCAGTGAATATTTGTCATGATTAAGCAGTGTTGTTAGATAAAATTTCTAGCATTAGTGTAATTCGGCTAGTAGATTGTTGGAAGAAGTGTTCAGTAGATAAAAAGAAAAGAAACATGTCTTTACTTCGTGAAGACAAAATGGCGGCGGAAAAAAAAATAGAGGGTTGCTGTAGAAGAGTTGGTCGCCAATTTTCGCCAAAAAAAATGCCAAGTTACCATAATGTAAAGATCAACCACATCAGGAAGACGAAGCTCTGAACTACTGCGATAGTTGACGTGACAAATTCACTGACTTCTTCCGTTTATTTGTTCGCGTTCACTATTGTATGGAAAACCAACGCACTGCAACTGGTAATCAGATTTCTATTTTATTCACTTTTCAGGGTTTTACTTTAATTTTCTAATAGTTTTTTTATTTTGGAACAAGCCTTTCTTAAACATTCTAATTTCACGGCTAAGTTTCCCTACTAGAAGGAGTTTTCTGAATTACAATTTATGCAAATGAGGTAGAAACGGGTATTTAAGCTCAAATCTGGGTCACGTCAGTCGGAGAGCGTGTTCTGCCTTTCGGCCACGTTGTTGCCATTAGTCTAAGCTTCGACGTGACTGTTAGTATACGCCTGCGATCTTTAAATAAGGGCCAACTCCGTTAGTTGTTTCTATGCAGCTTCGGCTGATTAGTTTTATTTAGCATTAGGTTATTCTTATATTTTCTATTTTGAATTAAAGCCCAAGTGAAGGCTTACTGTGGTCCCTAGAGGGGCCAACTGTTAATTCATATTAAGTGTGAATAAACGGTAATTTAATCCTTCTTTGGCCGTGTTAATTACGCTACAAAAACGCAGCGAATAGTCGCTACACAATTCTTCAATATTCTGGCTTGCAAGGACTTCTAATTTAGCTAGGATACTACAAATTGGTTTTTAAGCATTCTTTATCTTTTTACCTTATTACGAGGTTTTTTTTTAATATGTACTTCGTTAAAGATCCGAAGGACCCTATCCCTGAAGGATAACTTCCTGCTTTCCTGGAGGAAGTTTTTAATGCAAATGACTCATATTTACATTACACATGTGCAAAAACTAGAACATATTTCATGCAGCCAACCCATTCGCTGGGATTCTAACCGGGGTTGAAATCGCATTACGACTATCTGTCTGTTACTTTTTCAGGTTTATATGACAGGAAAGCAAACATATACTATCTACATGTATAGTACTTCGCAGTTTTTATCCTTTCCTTCAACTTCGGAGGACAAAGTAAGAAATGAGTTTAGATAAATCCTTGTTAACAGTGGAATTTATTAGTGAAAGATTCCAGTAAGCAGAACTCTAATTTGTATCAAAAATAATTTCTTGGAGGATTAATGTAATAAATTGGCTGTTTAGAAACCAAGTGAAGAAAAAAAGATTTATTAAAGGACTCTGTTTTCCCATCGAAAAGAAATTCCATAGAACTAATAAATATAAATATGTATTTCAATCTGCATAATGCCTTGCTGACATTCATTGCTAATTGCCCATTCCTTACGATTGAATCTTTTCTGCTAAAATATATTTAAGGATCAGTAATAATTGTGTGGTGATGGTAAAAGTACTGCCACTGCCACCTTCGTAACAGGCAGATAATAAAGTTTCTATTATCTGTTTATTCTCTTACTTATAACGACAGCGCTCTTACAGACGGACGTACAGTTGAAATTTCACTGTACTTTCAGAAACAGAAGACGAAGCATTTATAAATTGAAAAGAGTTATTAGCGTCAAATGCTTTTCACACAAGCTAAACATAATATGATATTGCTAAAAGTTTTTAAAATTCGAATTCTTTTGTTAAAAAAAACAGTAACTTATCTTCTGCATATTTTTTTTTTCGTTTCTGTTGATAATTAATGAACTTTTTCCCAGGCTATCAAGCGCTGCGTTTGAAAGAATGCAAAGGCCTTGGTTGTGGCGTTATTTTATTTTCCAAATGACTCCTATCGGAAGAAGTTTTAGCCAGAATCTCAGAACTCTGCAGGATTTCACTAATGCAGTAAGTAATAACATTTTATTTTCCTGTTTTAAATAAAAGCATTTCTACTTTATTTGTTGTTGTTGTAACTTACCTCACTTGTGTGACAGAATCGTCAGCACAAGCCCACGGAATTCATCGTAGCAAGGAGTGTCATCCCGAATTGCGCTTGCAATCGGCTAGTTGCAAAACATGTTAATCCTGCGTTGAAGGGAACAGAAGATATTTCGAGTGAATTGTGTGCGTGCAATTTGGAAGGACCTCTTACAGAAAATAAAATGTACCTCTTCATGCTAATTTCCGAGACAATCGAATCACTTCCGAATGCATTCTATATGCTTCATATTTCTAGTATTCGTATGCGGAATCCTTAACATTTGCATGCCAGAAATCAGGAAGTGATACGTTTATACAATACATACAATCTCTGCTTACACTAAATGCCACAATAATGTTACATGTAAACGTTTCCTCTTCTTCAAAATTTGTTCCCCTTGATTATTGATCACGCGTATTATACTTTCTACACATAAAAGACCCATGCAACTCATACAAAGTACACGTGATGTAACTATAAAAGAAATGTTTTACTTTTAAATTTATAGTTATTGACTTTCATACGCTTGTTTGATTTAAAAAATCAGAGCTAATTTTTTAAGTAATATACTGTACATGGTATAGGCGTAATATGTTCATTATGTTGTATTGGCAGATTTGATTCGAATCAACTCCATGGAAATCTGAGTACGGGTACTTTACACCTGTTGTGTATGTCTACACGAAATTTAAACTTTAAACCTTTTACCCTGTTTCGTTCATTCTGATTTCTGATGCACAGCAATTTACTAGAAACTAAATCAAAGAAAATGTACATTGGCTAACGGGAAGATGTTACAAACAAATAATCAATACACGTTACCTGTCATTATTAAAGTTGAAGTTGATTAGCTATTATGTAACTATTCTAAACCTATTATACTTAGACGAATTATCGCTGTCAGTACCAAACTGGCCAGTTCTTTATCTGGGCATCTTTATCTTTGGAAATACTCAAGGAGGAAAACGAAAGTTTAGTCTAAACCTTGTAGAACTGTAAAATTTGAAATATATAAAACGTATCCAATCCTTTTTTTCTAAAATCTTATACAGAAACAAATATAAAACTTTAAATTGATCTTAATACTGTCCGACTGCTACGTGCACTCCCATTATCTGCTCGAACTGACATTTCCTCTCCAATTCTGTCCTTCCGGTGTGTTAAATGGGACCTAGTTAACTATATTTCAATAGCATTAAGTTATCGTCAAGTCAGATAGCAATGTTGCAGGAAATATCGCAAATGAGGCCGTAAGGAGTCGCCATTGGTGATGTTTTCAAATGAATTCAGTAAGAACCGCGAGCATATTATATCTAATAATGGTTCAAGAAATTGATCTTTATGGTCCAAGAGTAATAGTGCATACAAGGATCATTCATGGCATCAGAACGTTGCTGCCGATCTTTGTATCAAAGTCCGACACAAAAGTACGGAAATTGTACGGAACATTGTACTGACATTGCGCGGAAATACTGCTGGGTCACGTTGTTTTTCCCCGTATCTTTTTTATTTTGCGTAGACAACAGTAAACACCAACACAAGAAAGATGACGTGATTGAATTAACCATAGAACCGGACGTGCATATTCTTACAAACTCAGTATCATAGAACATGACACATTCCGTAGATATAAAGGACAGAGAAAACCAGAAGCTCAGAATGTGCAGGGATTTGTAAAGTCTTGAAAGGATAATGAGAAATATCCCAATTTTTGCTTCTAAACAATCTTATACAGGGTATGTATTCAAATTCAAGAAGCGCATATTATGTACTATGAAGTTTCTTACCGTTCACGAGTCAAGGTTATAAGTTATTTCTCCCGCCTTCTTAGCATGCCTTCGTGGTGTAGTGGTTAGCACGCCCGACGCGAATTTGAGAGGTCCATGGCTCGAGTTCTGGCGAGGGCATTGCACATTGTTCATCTCTCCTGCTTCGAAATAACCTAATAGCTCTATAGTGGCTTCCGAACTGAAGGTGGTGAATGATGATTCTTCCCCACCAGGATTTGGCGACTAAGTCCCCTAAAATCCCAGGCGCCCTTTAAAATGGGGAGTATATAAGGTATTTCTCCCGACTTTCTCTCAGTGCAGTTCGAGTGGTCCGTTAGTTCGAGTCCCGGCGATGACATTCCTCATTTTTCATCTCTCCTGCTTCCAAATAACTTAATAGTTCTACAAGGTTGCATTTGTTGTTCATTATACATACTCTATGATACTCTGTATTTTTTCTTTCTTTGTTCTTTAACAAGTGTGAAACATTGTAAATATCGCAACAAGCTAAAGTTATACTCGAATGTCAGTTTTATAACTTCAAATAAGAAACTACGCATTGAGAAAGATATGAAATTATCCTTTTTTCTTTAAAATATTTGAGGATTCAAAATAATTTAGGAAACTATACTTAAATATTCGATTAGACGATTTGTATCGCTCCTTTTTCGATCATCTATGAAAAAGGCTTCCAAAAAATGGTGCTATAAAATTTTGCAAAACTGCAAAATATTCAGTATGTTAATATGTGCAAAAGGCTCAGTTTGTAAGAATTACGATGGATTTAAAACTAAAAATTTAAAGGAAGAATTTCGATCCTTCTAAAATCAAGAAGTATCAATTTAATATTCCCCTCCCACAATGCAATTTATTTGCATTGTGGGAGTTCATTGCATGATTTATATTATTGTGAAAAATAAAAAACAACACCTAAATATTTAAGAATATTGCTTAAGTAGTAGAAAGAGATTCCAGGTTTAAAGATCTTGTACTGACTGCTGTTTCTGATGTTTCAAGTTAATAGGGCATGATGGTTTGACCATTTTGAACCTCTTTTCTCCTAGATTGCGCATGCACAAATTCGAGACCGAAGTTGGTTCCCAGCATAAATGTCCGGCAAAATAATGTCGCCCGACGTGGCGCCCGACAACAAATCTCAATGGGGACAACCCAAGACCAAAATATTATTGTTAATTTAAAAATAAAAAACAATCATAATAAATATTTAAGAATATTTGCTTAAGTAGTAGAAAGCAGATTCCAGGTGATTAAAGATTAACTTGGCTGAACATTGTATACTGTTTACTGATGTTTCATTAGTTTTCTAAGAGTAATAGGGCATGATGGTTTGACATTATAAGGTATTTTCTCCCTCCTTTCTGCATGCCTTCGAGGTGTAACTGTAGCATACACAACGCGTATTCGAGAAATCCAGGTTAGAGTTCCGATGAGAGCATTGCTCATTTTTCATGTCTGTGGCTTCAAAATAACGTAACGGCTCTACAATGGCGCCCGAATTAAAGGGTGGTAGATGATGATTCTTCACCGACAAGATCTGTCGAATGGGTCCCCTAATCCCCAGCAGCCATTTAAAAGGGGCTTTCCTATCTCCTTTCTGCACGCCTTCGTGGTGTAAAGGTTTGGCGCGTATTCGAAATGTCCAGGTTCGATTCCCGGCAAGGAGGGTTATAACTCATTGATCATTGTTCTCGTCTCTCTCATCAAGAAAACTTATGACTCTACAACATGTTCCTTTTTTTGAGGGGGAAGGAAGCAGAGGGAAAACTAGATAACCTGATGCTCAGTGAAAGATGAGGAAATAGACTATTGCACATATTATAAATTTTTATACACAAAAGTGCCAATCTGTGTAGCGTAAAAGAACTCGTAATTAAATACGTGATATTTTACTGCGGGGTGAATTTAAACAATTCATTAGGGACGAAAGTAAATAAAAAATGAGGAGCTCTGATTTGAATTTAATTCGCAGTGTATTAAATGCTAACTCCTAATAAGTTTGTTTCAATTTTGTTTTCTAATTGCATACTACTGAGTTTTTAACGTCAACTGAGAAAGTCAAATATATCGTCAGTAATTAAAGAATTTATTACTCTAACTTCCTGCACATTTAATAATGCATTTATCATCCCGTCAAAGTCTTTACATTAACCTAAAAAATTATTAACAATAAATCAAATTTTACATAAATATGTTTCGGTGAATATGGAAGCGTGTAAGTTAACTATCTTCATTGAGTTGATGACAAGAAAATTGAATCAATAACTCCTAAATGATTATAGATTGTCGCAGAAGTATGTGCTATAACTCAAATTACAACCCTGATATTTGAATTTTCCTAGGTAATCGCTGAAAAGAAGAAAGAAAAATTGGAAAAGAAAAGAAAAGGTGAGACATCTGTTAAAGAAGAAGATGCAGATGCTTGTCATAAACTCAAGAAGAGAGCGCTTTTAGATCTTTTGCTCGATGAACATATAAATAACAATTCTATTACTGAAACAGAAATAAGAGAAGAAGTAGATACTTTCACGTTCGAGGTATGTATTCATATGAAATATATATAAGAGTTTTTAACTTAAAAATTTGCAAATTCTTTCTTACTAGACATAAAGCAACATAGTAATTTAGGTTTGAGATTTTCCAATGGTTGATAAAAAATCTTTGGAAGACTGAAATATTTTCAGTTGCCGACTGTTATTCAAGGATTAACTGTGAGTGGAAAAGAAATTTGTAACGCAGAAATATATCAACGTTGCACTCTCGTCAATACATTAAGGAGTTTCTTGAACTAGGCAAACTACCTCTTGTGCCAATCACTTATAATCCTGTTTCCTAGGAAATATTAAAAAAAATTGTTTTAATCAACTGCAAAAATTTTTAACATAATTCACTAGTATGGCGAAGAAATATGTGCCTATAGAACAGAGAGGAATTCTCCTTTAAAGAAAATTTTTTTTTTCTTAAAGTCGAAGTGACAGAATCGCGTGACTGCATTTTGAATTTTATTAGTTATGACGCCACAGAGTTGTCAAAGTTAATGAAAAATTCTATCACGGTATCAAAAATGGCTGCAAAACTCAGCCAGAGTATCTTTGCGAGAAGAAGAAAATTGCAAGTTTCTTCAGTGTGATTTCTTCAGTTGTGCGAAATGACAACCAATCAAAGCTTCGATAGCATCTATTGCTTTGATGTATAGCTTTAAAATAATATGAAGGCCCTTTCTGAATATTTTTTGGTTTAAAAGTTCATAGTAATTAATTTAACGATTTTAGTATATTTTTACCTTATAATTATTTTATGTGATTTGCTTCTTACCATATGACATGGCTTTATATTAATAAACAATAATTTGTTAATTTTATTCATGATACTTTTATAACCAATGGGATCTTGAATTTGCAGATAACTCACTAGTGAATATCGACCTCTTGATCCTCACTGACCCCCCTTTCAGATTTTATCGACTCCCAGAGCCTCAGTAGCGACCCCTCTAGAAACCTCTGAGTTAGATTATAATTTAACAAGTGACAAGTTAAATGGTTTATTTGTGAAATTATTTCAGAAAAAGAAGTGGACCAAAAGTAAACTTTCAGTTTTGTGCACCGATAAGTCTGCTTTCTTTCCCTCTGGCTGAATTGCTTGTTTTTGCTTAGAAACTGTAATTTAAATTGTAAAAATCGTTTTTTAACTGCGTATTTGATGTTTTTCTGCATTTCACAATTTTTAATGTGTTTTTGCTTTGCCCCAAAGGGAAAACTGAATTAATTGATTGAAAAATAGATCTGTAATGAAATTCGAGGAAATAAGTTTAAATGGAATGCAGCAAAAATGTGTATAATTTAATAAACCATACAAGGAGTCACGTGGTGATCACATCAGATTTTTTTATCAAGAAGAATAAAGCACAGTGGTTTCAAATTTATTTCATACCCTCCAAAGCCCCCGATTGTCTAACGAATCGAATAATGCTTTAATTAAACACCAACTAGCCTATCCATTGTAACATTTAGAACTTAGTAATTTCAGTAACTTGTGAATGGCTACAGTTTGGATACACACAAAAACAGAACTATGTTAGTATTTCAGTTCTCAATAATATAAACTATTCTATATTTATAAATAAATAGTTTAAACAGTTAAATGTGCACCCTAATTATTTTATGCCTATGCTCTGCTAGCTTTCATCCCCTGGTTTCCAGCCCCCACTTATCTGTTTCCAACAATTTTTGTGATGTGTATTGATGTGTTTTTTGTGTGAATACTGATATTAACGCCCTGCCAGAATGCTAATCAGATAGCGCGCGTGCATTCAAATTAAGGTCGAAAGAAGTGCTATTTAAGCGAAGGTTTTGGAGATGATTCAAGAGCGTGTTATGCATGCTTGTAGGCCACGTTGTTACTCTGAACTACTAGAGATTTGATTCTGTGGCGTTGAGTGCTTCTAGCCATTAAGCTTGTTTCCGCCGGCTTATACGAGTCAGAGCCTTCCTTCACGTAAAATATTCTTGTGAGTCGTTAGGCTAGTTTAATTATTTTTGAGTTGAATATTACCTGTTTGAGTTATGCCAGAAGTGTTGGCTTTGTGTAAGTCCAAGTGGGGCCACCTGTTTAACTATATGTGATTGAATAAAGGGTCCTTTACAATCTTCTTCTTACTTTTCTGTTGTCTTAGGACCTGAGGATAATTTCTCGTACAGTCTTCAAGGGCTCGTTAGTTTATGTTACCAAAAAACACGAGGCTCTATAAGCTCATTAATCTTATAATTATCTTAAAACTAACATCGAAACAATTCGTAGAATGCAAATCGTAAAATTAGACCTTAATAATAAGTCTTATAACATCCTATTGGTTGCATTACTGGAAACCTGGAGTTCACGATTTTAAATCTATAAAAATAGCATTTTACCTATTTTCCAATATAAAAGTTTTAAACCTTGGGATTCCATTTTAAATTTCTTTATAAATCGTTGCCATTCCTGACTTCAAAGGATAATTAAATGAAACATTTTGATGCTTTCCTGTGTTTTCAAATACTGAGTTAGTATTTTTACATGTTAACAGTTCGGATAAGCTTTGTGAATAAATATGCGAGAAAAGCAAAAAATTAACCAAAAATGTAGAACCTCTTTCACAAGCAACAATAATTGTTACAGGTGAAGATATCAGTTGCAAAACCATATATCTTTATCATCCGAATACTTTCATCAGTTTACATTCCAAATATAAGTAGTGTAGCAAATATAAAAAAAAAATGCAACTCTCTATAAACGTGAACATTCAATCAGCTGATTACGTCCACTGCACACACTCGTTTTTTCTTCGACTTTTCTAATATAAGATCATTATCTATCTTTTGAATATTTATTTATGTAAACACTTATTTCTAAATTCCTTGTTCTTTTCTTTAATATTTGAATTTAATATTTTACTTATTTTAATATAGTATGTTTAATTCGGTTCAATATTATTGCAATAGGATTTATTTTATATTATATTGATTCAATTTTAAAAATTATCTCGCAGGGTCATGACACAACGTCGATCGCAATATGCTGGTCCTTGTATATGATTGGTTTACACCCATGGGTTCAAGACAAAGTACACGAGGAATTGGACTCGATCTTCTGTGAAAGCAACCGAGATGTGACGATAGACGATATAAAAGATATGAAGTATCTGGAATGTGTGGTCAAGGTAATTCATAGTTAATACTATAAAGTAATTATATCATTCCTCAGTGTATGCTCATACGGTATATGATTATCAGGTGCAGCTACAAATCTGCATATCCATCGTTCGTATCCTGTCGAAGGGTAGCTGATTTTTTATGTTGCCTATTTTGAACAATTCTGGAGGACTTTACAATGGGAGAAAGAATTAATATATGGTGAACGAATATACGTCATTATCTGAATTAAGTCATGTCTATTTTGTTTCTTCTCCAGTAACTTATCAAAACGGAGAGAATTAAAGGCATTTTTACATTCCTTCCTGCGTACTTTCGTAGTGTAAATGTTTAACATATTAAACTATAAATTAAAAGATTATTTCGAATTCTAGATAAGGGATTTAAAATTTCACTTTTCCGGTTCCAGGAATAAGGTTGCGATTTCACTTTTCCGGTTCCAGAATAAATGTAAGAGTATTTCTAGAGTTACTATAAAAATCTTATAAGTGAAAATAATAGATTCAGCTTTTTAATAACATTTTGGATTATGAGAAAAAAATTATTTTTTCTCTCGTAAAGTATGATGCAATTGGTTTCGTTTATTTGACTAATACAAATCATGCTAGAGCTTTCTGCCGAAAAGGATGGATGCCTTCGTGGAGAATTTTCCGAAGAAAACTGGCTTCTATTTGCGTTACACATGGCGAAAGCCATGAACTACCAATGTTCAGCGAATTTACCGCTTGGCCGCGCGGGTTACTAGTCTAATTTTACTGCTATTCGACCGTATTGTTACGTGCCTGCTAGTATTGGCCGGTGATCCCAAATAAGGGCCAAATCTGTTAGTTAATTCTATGCAGCTTCGGCTGATTTTATTTTAGTCAGTATTATATTAGTTTTCTTATTTTCTAGCGTTAAAGCTCAAGTGGAGACTTATTGTAAGCCCGGGAATCTGTGCATTTATTTTGAGTTAGAATAAAGGGGTAAACTTAACCCTTCTTTGAACTCTTACTCAATAGAACTCTGCGATAAGTCACTACACAGTTCTTCGATATTCTAGCTCCCAAGGACTTCCAGTTTAGCTAGGATAATACACAGCTAATCCTGAAAGGGAGCTAAACCAAAGAATCTTTAGAGATTCTTTGGATAAACCATACTAATGATCAGTTCATTCGCAAATTACACGATGACCTTTCACTCTTGCATTTTCCCATTTCAGGAAATTTTTCTCCACAAAAAGAGTTTTCAAACTTGTTCAGTTAAACGCGCGTATTGTAATAAAATTATATCATTCTTAGAAAATTATGTTATAAAGATGAAGTTTTATTCATTTGCACCTTTTACTATTTCAAGATTTTTCGACAAAGAATGAATTTTTAAAGGTGTCGCAATTAAAATGATAACTAATTGCATACAACATAATATAAATTTATTATTCTTGGACAATCATGTTATCCTTGCTTTATTTGTGCTTTTATTTATTTTGAATTTCGCCCCCCAAAGAACTTTTAAACTTGTATACTCCAAAGTAAATGTTAGATTTTCTTGCTAAAATTTCGAAGCTATTATGCTTATAGTTACCCAAAGTTCGAATAACGAAATAAGTTGGAGTAATAGACAAAATGCAAGAATATATCATGAATGAAATTCTACATATTTTTATATATTACCTAAAGAGTATCGTAAATTAAAACTGAAATTATTGACTGATTCTTTGGTACCCTCAAAGAGTAAATCAAAACTTCAGCCTCTATATGAAAACAGGTTAAATATATGTGGTAAAAAATTCAGAAACAAAAGGATTCACCCAAATTATATAAATATTATGTTGCCAGTTGAAATGAATATTGCAGAGGAATGAGTCGAAACTTAAGGAGACTCGTCAAGAGAGTTTTATAAATAATTTTCATACGCTATATAATTTACTATTTTCTGAGTGATTTTCTGTAAAAGAAAGTTTCAAAGGAATCCTTGATATTCCTTGATAACAGATATATCTTATATATATCTGGTATATAATTTGTACATAATGTATACTGGATTCAAAAGCATACTCAACATAGATATTTTAAAATACACCAGAATGTTCCACGTGAATGAAACATTAAAATCGTATTTATATTAACGGAATACAGACATATATTTATAAATGATTGTGATTTACCTTAATTTTTACATCCTTTTCTTTAAGGAAACGATGAGATTATATCCTTCAGTTCCTGCAGTTGCACGGGAAATAACAGAAGACTTAGAATTTCGTAAGTATCAGCTATTGCATTTCTTATTGCAGCTGTACATTTTGTGAAACAATTGTGACATTTACTATAACTTTTCACATTACAATGATTAATTGTATTCTAAAAAATCTTTGGTAAAAGTAGTCTGTTTAACATGAAATATTTCCCTGTAAGCAAGTTACAAGTTTTTATTTTTTATGCTGTCCTTTATTATTTTCGCTATTTAATTAAAATTTTTTCTATTTCTAATGGCACGTTGCTAGACAACTGAACATCAAATAAAGTACAAAACAAAGACGAGACTATATATACAGGGTGATTTGCTACCAGACCGCCAAACTTGGAGAGTGCGTAGGGTGTATAGAGATACCTCGGAATCGCATAGGAATGTAGAGTCGCAAATGCCATAGCTGCGAGCTGTGGTTAAAAGAAGCAGAGGAAAAGAACAACAACACATTAAAGGAACTGAAAACATTTTATTGAAAGGTCGTACTACAACAGGTGTTCAAAATTACAACTAGAAATCGTCAGGCAGGCCTGACAGTTGCGCTGCTTGGAATTTTTTGCGTTTTGAAAGGCTCCTCCTAATAATCTTGCGGTAGATGGCACTGAACGGATCCTGCTGGAACAGCCATTATACTGGAAGTCGTCATTTGCAAACCGTTTCCCGAGGTAATGACGGTGAACTGGTCGACAGGCTGATGGTATATGGAGCTGCGGATTGTAAGGCTGCTCGGCTGTTGTACCAGGAACGTTACCCGAACATGTGTGCTCCACATCACATGACCTTCGCAAGAGTGAAAAGAATGTTACGTGAGACTGGTTGTTTAACGAGAGGTGCAATCAATGACTTGCAGTTTCTAAGACTCTAACACAGGCATCATAACGAACGCGCGACGGACCACCAACCCCGACTCCGTAACTGAAATGCGTGTAAAATAAATGACATTAGTTCACACACATTTTTCAATAATAATAATGCACTTTGGTGTTACTTTAAATGAGTTTTAGTTTATTATGTTTATTATGTTAAAGCGAGAAAATATAACAGAGCATTCAAAATAATTATATTTCTGTGAAGCAAAAGCGATTTGTTTAATTCTTTCGAATTACATATGGCGATTTTCTGAAATTAAAGCTAATACGAGATTAATTTAGACACTGCATAATCTTCCTAGATAGTCAAACATATTAATCTTCCATCTTTAACTCCACAACGTGATAAGAACAAGTTAAATTCACAGCACATGACCTCCTGCTACCGTGGTTAAACAACGCACAATTTGCCATCATATATATAAATATGTTTCAATTATTAGTAAGTAAAAACGCTTTATAAATAATGAAATAACCAAATTACCAAACTATCCTTGATAACTTCTTCACTTAATGCATGAAAATTATCAAATAAGTCTTTCAGTCAAATATCCAGCATCTCTGTAATTTTATAGAAATTTAATAAACTTCTATATTCATTTCAAATAACGACATAAGTGTCTCGTCCCAAAAAACATTAGTCATTTTTTTTAATTAGTGCTTTCTTACAGAGGGTAAGATCCTTCCTAAAGGAGCCACATGCGTGGTGTTTACGTACTTTCTCCACCGCGATCCAGAAGTTTTTCCAAATCCAGAGAAGTTCGATCCAAACCGATTCTTGCCGGAAAACTCTGCTGGAAGGCATCCATTTGCTTACGTACCTTTCTCTGCTGGTCCCAGAAACTGTATAGGTGAGTAATTCGTAAATTGAGAAGGTTTTGATTGAAAAATTATTATTGAAATTTCTCAGTGAGTTCCAAAACAAGTTTTCTGGGAAAGTTCATTTACTATCTAAATTTACTTCATTCACTGGTGATGTAGATGTGCGTATATTATTCAGTTACCTGGACAGTTCGCGCGCTGTTTCTGAATTTATTTTATATATAAACATCCTGGATTATATATAAATATCCCAACCCTAATAGAATTCTTCATACTACCGTATTTGCATTGTTAGCCCAAAGGAGAAATTTGCCCAGAAAGGCTGTTAACTTCGTTTTGGCATTTTGCCTTGATTCACTATAAACGGAGAATCATTTCTTAAATTGTTGCCACCAAATATTAGAGCCCTGTATTATATTGAAAGAAATTAAATAATGAAAAATCTGCATAAATGTATGTATGTTTCTCGCATTGTGATAAAACAACGGTACCTAGAGCCATCAGATTTTGGGTACTTTTCGGTTTCGCCGGCGAAAATCTCGCCAAGCAGACTTTATTGGCGACAACATACAGTATACACATAAAAAATATTTAAAATGTTAGTTCTAAGTATTTTTCATTTTGAAGGCATAAACATTTTAATATCGTTTAAAATTTTGTAAAAAGCCAATAAATAAAGACAATAAATTTATAAAAAGACATTAATTTAAGAATTTACTGTGCTATCAAAGTTCAACATCCTGATTCGCCGGTTCATATCACGTGACCACGAGTGATCTCATCTCACGTAAACTATCCTACAAAAGTCTAATTCTCTCGGTAATTATCTCATTATGGCTGCGACTTGTTTTGAAAATGAGGCGTAAAAGGTTACCAGCGAGTATTCTGTTTGGCATCAATTGTACCATTATTGCAGACTTTATCTCCTGCCCCGGCAAAACGGAAAAGTACCAGATTTTGAATACCGTACGTCTCCATCCCAACTTGGGCATCTGGAAGACCAAATTCGGAATTTGAAATTTGTTTTATTATCGATTTCATATTTTGTAACGCTTTAACGAATTTTTGATTTACAAACTGAAAGATTTCAAAGCGAGAATGGCAACACAGTACGAAAAAAAAACATTTTTATCTCCAGCGCGCAAGACCAGTGTATCGGAAATACCAAAGATATGCTTATTTTAAAACTATTTTACGATATTGCTGTTGAATTGTATTTTATGGTTTAAGTGCGAGGAACATGATATTTAATATATAAAGGTAACACACAAAACTTTAAAAATAAAAACTTAATATAAAACAAAATGTAATATATAATCTAAAAGCTTCAGATTTTTCTTTCTTTTTTCATGAGCATTATAAAGTTTTAAACCATTAATAATTTTTAATACATGCATTCTGTCAGACGGCATGTGTCTTCTTAAGTTGCGAATCCTATGAAGCATCTGCATGCGAGATCTTCAAACTAATACACTTATGATGGTAAGACTTTTAAACAGAGATTATAAGATTAGGACTATTCAATTATGGCAAAGCACACGAGGGCTATCTGCCTAAAGGAAGGGATGCCTTCGTGGAGGACTTTCTAAGGGAAACTAGTTAGTATCCACGTTACACAAGGGGAAAACCACGAAAACGCCCATGCAGCCAGCCCGTTCGCGAGATTCGAACCTCGGACCGAACTACCAGTGTTCAGCGTCTTTACTGCTCGGCCGCTGGTAAGCCCCAGAGATTATAGAGAAAGGTTATTTAGAGATGTTTCAATGAAGCGAGCAAGCAGATATAGATAGTATTTTAGATGACAAATGAATTGAATCTGAACAAGGAATGTATCAACCTCATCAGAAAATATTGACAACTGTAAAAGCGAGAATTAAAGAAGCAAAAACTAAATTATGTGAAAGTAAACATATTTATGGAAAATAACTTTGATGTTTACTAAAAAAAATTATTTCAATAGTATTTATTTCAGTGCAGTAGACTCTACTTCATGTGATTCCATTTGTTTACGGCCATTTTGATGACACTGAAAAATGAGAAAAATTATCCTTCAAAATAACAAAGAAATTTTAATAGTTTAATATAAATGTATCTAAAATATATAAATATATATTTTCACACCAGTTTAACTAGAGAAAGGCGAAAGTTAATTTATCAGCTGTTCATTCGTCGGTATTGCAAAAGTTCATTTATGAGCTGTTACGTGTTTTTCACAAATTATTTACCGATGTTGTACTCCTAATCTTAATACCTTATGTCAGCGTTTATAATTAATTTACCCATTTCATCTTTACGTTCTTCAGGAAGTTCATTATTTGATGTGCTTGGATTTGTTTCAGAAACTTCCAGACAGGTACATTCTTTCATTTTCTGATGTCTGAAGAAGAGATATCTGTGTTCTCGAAATCAGCAGGGTTAAAAATCTGCGCCAAACTAAACGAAAAGTTGCTTTTTAGGCCTAATTTTAAATGGTTGTTTAAGCTAAAAATGATAACACTTTGTTAGCTATTTTCTTCCTCCTTTCTGAGTGCCTTCGTGGTGTAATTGTTAGCATATTCGACGCGTATTTGAGAGGTCCAGGTTCGACTCCCGGAGAGGGCCTTGCATATTTTTTATGTCTACAGTATCGAAAAAAGGGTAGAGTTTAAGCGCACTTGTAATAGATCTTAATAATATTTGCTTTTAGGAACAATTATATTACATAAGTCATGTTACCCTTTGTATATTCACAGTCTACATGACCAATTACGAATTAAATTTCTTGAAAATTATAACATTCACTTCGGAAATAGAAAAGTTTGCATCGGGTATGAGCTCATTTGAATTGAAACTACTTAACACAGTAGCTACAGAATAGCTTTCTGTGATATCTCAGATACATTTAGCAGCTTGCCGAATGAAGAATAAGCGATGTTGGGGACTGAATCTTGTCGAAATACAATAATGGCATGAGACATTAGAATATGGATACAAGTGTGTACATCTTAAAGTGTGTGTGTGTGTGATTATGGCAAAGCCTTGAGGGCTATCTGCCTAAGGGGAGGGATGCCTTCGTGGAGGACTTTCTAAGGGAAACTGGCTCGTATACACGTTACACATGGGGAAAACCACGAAAACGCCCATGCAGCCAGCCCGTTCGCGGGATTCGAACCTCGGGCCGAATTACCAGTGTTCAGCGACTTTACCGCTCGGCCGCTGGTGGGCGATACATCTTAAAGACACCATACAAAAATATTGCATTGTATGCCAGTTTATATGATTTTTTATCTTGAGTATAACATATCTGCAACTATGAAAGAAGTTTTCAATTTAAAGTTTTTTAACAATTCAGAAGTTTTGATTCACCACTCGTTTTTAGGAAGCGCAAAATTTCAGATGAGTAACTGCATAAGAAAATGCATTTTTTGCATTCTAAACCTCAGTCGCATGCAGTAAAATAAACCAAATTTGAAAAATTGCGTTTGAAAATCGATTATTATTATTTAAAAAGTGCAAAGTAACTGCATATTTCAGTCATTAATAAAATTAAATTCATTTAATAAATATTGAGAAATTAGTCTAACTGGGAAGATCGTTTCCGTTTTTGCTCAAGAAGTTTTTTCTTTTTCCAGGCCAGCGTTTTGCTATGATGGAAATAAAGACAGTGCTTTCATTTATTCTGAGGAATTACCGAGTGCGGTCCTTAGATCCTAGAGACAAGATCCTTGTGGCAGATGAAATAATCCTAAGACCCAAGAATGGTCTGAGAATCGAAATTAAACCTCGGAGTGAAAGTGCCGCTAGTCATCCAGTTTACTACTATCCATGACTCCAAATACGTTTGCTGAAAATCTCTTCTGTTTTGAATAGCGAAAGTGCACAAATTTGAAGCTCTTATAAAGAAAACATTTACCATTATATATATATATATATATATATATAATACGTTTAAGACGGTTAAAGGTTCTTCAGTAACTTTATCTTAAATGTAGAAAATTGAGCTTCATATAAGAGTGAATAGTGTTCAGATAATCTAACAAGTTTACGTATTTCAATATGCCCAAAATTTGTTGTTCTTCGTTTTCATTTGAAATTATCTAAAATTTTAAATTATATCTTTGATGTTTTAATCAGAAAATTTTATCTTTCTAAATTTTCATTTTTCTTTCAATTTTGTCTTGAAATTTGCTGTTTTATCAAAACTTCTTTATTTAACATTTTATTTTCAAGTTTCAGGTTATAAATGTATCTTACGAAATAAACTTTATTATCTTACACCAGTGAACGATCAGGAATATTTTTTCTTGTCTAATCTGTCACAAAAAAGTTTCGAATTTTGTCAAGATTTACGTTTTATTAAGCCCTGAATTGTACTCACATTAAGCCAAATAGAGTTAAACTTTACTACGGAATTGTTGAACTAATTTTTCAGTTTGACTGCTATCGTTAATATAGATTTGGGATTACCAGAAATACTGTATGACAGCACTTTTATTAGGATCAATGTACTGTCGGCCAGGCATGTTTGTTAAGGTAATGATTTTTAAGTACATCCTCTGCCAAACATGTTAGTTCTTTTAAAATATATTATTCACCAAAAGCGTTCAGCGTAGCATTTGAAACCATCGTGTTTCATTCGATTCTTTCAAAGAATCGTGTCTATGGTCTTAAAGAATAATATATATCCAAATAGCAACGTGAATCAAATTCAAATTATAGATTTTGTTGACAAATAACAATGGTCACAAATACCAGCGAGGAAAATGTTAGGAACGAACATAGGCTTAATGAAAAATATTAGGCAATTTCATAATTTTAATGTGTCTTTAAAAGAAATAATTAAGTACACAAATATATATTTGCATACAGCTATGAATTTTTCTTTTTTTAAAGTTATTATAATTTATAATTTTCTAAGGAAAACGATAAAAATAACTTGAGAACTTTATTAACAGGAGCAATCATTTAAAAACTTTACTGACACGTTGGCAGGTTTAATTCAAACAATTTCTTGGGCCCAGGCTTTGAACAATGTTTTGTATACGACACAACGCAATAACTAAAATCATTTTAGAACGCTTTGGAAGGATGAATGGATTAATAATTCTTATAATAGTGAAACATAAAACAAAAGCTTCTTTCCTGAAATTCAGCCAAATAATTCCAGTTATCAGAACCATCTAAAAGTAATTTCAATTTTATCTTTTTCAAGAAACTTTATGTTCAGTTCTTGAATCCAAGAATATTCCATTTCTGAGTCGAAAAGTGTTTCATTTCTGAGTGAAGGTGATGTGATAATTAATTATCTTAGTAAAATTCATGTTTTACTATGTTTAGTGAGACTCGGGCGACAATTCACAGTCGGATCACCATTGTTGTTGATTTGTCAAAATGAGATGCACTGCAGATTTAGACTCATAGCTAGGATAAACGCTGAATTTGCTTGATACTTGAAATGAAGAAGCGTATTTGTGGTGTGTGGCGTATCCCTGGTGTAATGGTCAGCACACTCGGCGCGTATTCGACAGGTTCTTGGTTCGAGTCCTGGCGAGGGCACTGCTCATTTTTCATCTCTGCTGCTTTCGAAAAATATCTAATGTCTCTACAATGTACACAAGCCAGTTTCCCTCAAAATGTCCTCTACGAAGACATCCCCCTCCTTAGATAGATAGCCCTCGAGTGCTTTGCCATCATTAAATAAACCAAACCAAGCATCCAGTTACGGATACGGATTATGAAGTTAGTTATTATTATTATTATGATTATGAAGCCTGAAAAACACATATCTGCGATGTTACCGCCATGCGATGATTTGCAGGTGCTTTTTTACAACGGTACTTTCTATGACGATGTTCTAAAATCGCAATGTTTTCAACCTTTTTCTTTTTGAAGATGATGTATTTACCCCGACATTTTAGAAATTCGATATTTTCTCCTTGCTTTCTTTTCTCTCGCGATGATTTGTACCACGATGTTTTGCCCTTTGTTACAGTTTATGTAGCTGGCCACGAGAGGGCGCAGCGTTTTTTGAAATTTTAACAGCAAACTGTATTGTTGAAAATATCATTCCAATCGAGAACTTTAGTGACATAAAAAAGGTATATAGAATAACATCTTATGTTTTCAGATTTATCAATAATTTGAAAAACCCAAAACTAAGAAGAATTGGACCTGTTAAGGCTGAAGAGATGAATGAAGCAGAGAATTTCTGGATCAAGAAAACTCAGGAAGAAAATTTTAGAGAAGAAATAAGGAAATTAAAGATGAAACAAAGCATACATAGTTTGAAAATATTTACATTAAATCCACTTTGTAGACTCCAAATGGAATACTCAAATGAGTAGGAGGAAGGCTTCAAAATGCTGGGTTAAGCTATAATCAAACATACCCAGCAATACTACCTGAGAAGTCTCATTTCACAGATCATATCATTAAAGATTGTCACGAAAACGCAAGGACACGCTGGTGTAGCTGAAACTTTAACTCAAATTAGGGAAAATGTTTGGATACTTAAGGGTCGACAGCGTGTAAAGAGTAAATATTAACAAGTGTGTGATTTGCTACAGATTTAAAGCTAAGCCACTAAGTCAGGATATCGCTCCTTTACCAATCGAAAAAGAATAACAGAGGCAAATCCCTTCGAAGTTGTAGGACTTTGATTTTGCTGGTCCTATGAGTACAAAGGATGAAACTGGGAAAGCTTATATTGCTCTGTATACATGCGCTGTAACCAGAGCAGTGCATCTGGAACTTGTGTCTAGCCAAACAGCAAACAATTTTCTTCTAGTCCTTTAGAAGATTTATTTCAAGAAGAGGAGTATGTCGAATAATATATTCAGACAATGCAAAAACCTTCAAAAGATGCAGACAAGGATTTACAAAAACTATGGAATACCATCAAGGACACAGAAGTTCAAAATTATTTTGGTAATAAAAGGTATTGAGTGGAAATTCAATGTGGAGAAGGCGGCTTGGTGGGGCGGTTTCTGGGAAAGGCTTATTAGATCTATCAAGTCATGTTTGAAGAAAATACTCATGAAGGCTTCACTTAAATTTGAAGAGCTGGAAAAACAGTTTTAATCTGAAATTGAGGCGAATATTGAATTCGCGTCCACTGACGTTATGTTTATAGTGAAGCTGGAGAACCAGAACCGCTGACGCCAGCTCATTTTCTAGTTGGACGAAAAGACTGACATCCTTACCATCTGGCAAAATTCTTGAACCTGATTCAACTAAAGAAAATTTAACAAGGCGATATAAATACCGGCTAAGGTTATATAGAAGAGTTTTGGAAAAGATGGTAAAGAGAATACTTACTTGAAATTAGAAACGTAAAACAAATTCAGAGAGGTAATGCCGTAACAGATCTTTTGAAAGGCTCTGTACATGAAGAAAAATTACCAAGATTATTATGGAAGATGGGAGTTGTACAGGAGTGTCATCCAGGACGAGATGGGAAAATAAGGGCTTGCACTGTCCGTTTAGCTAATGGAACTCATCTTCGTCGTCCTGTGCAGTTATTGTACCCATTATAGAAATGACTTGAACTCTTTGAACTGAATCCAATGAACTTAAATTGCGAACACTGCATCCATGAACATTTAAACTTGTAGAACATTAAAAACATTCAGTGTTTAAGATAACTTCAGAATCCAATCCTTTGATGAACCAAGAGTTCATCGAGGGGGAGAATGTTACAGTTTATGTAGCTGGCCACGAGAGGGCGCAGCGTTTTTTACTTTTAGCTTGTTATATTTTTCTTACCGCATGATTATTGCGGATTTTTGAGATAGATGTAATGGCAACCAGAAAAACATGATGAATGTTCTAATGTAAGCATACATTTCTTGTACATAGCTGTAAATAAAGCTTTTATGTTGTAGGGTTTATATTTATTTTAACTAACATTTATTTTAAGTTTAAACTATCTTTCCTGTCAAGCCTTACTTTCCCCTGGAACTGCCAATGCCAGAATATGTAAATTTGAGTAGAACGCGCAAGGATTCAAATTATCAGCGGAAGTATTATGATTTAAATAGCAAGGAAACGAGTTCGGTGTGTGATATTCTTACTTAACGAGCGCGGAGGTAGTTAGCGAGAATTGAAGAACCCCGCGTTGCGGCCTATGTGCTTGGCGGGAAGTAGTGGTAATCGTTCCAGTGAGCTTCAAGTCTGCGGAATTAGCAGCGGTATTGTAAAACGCGGTGAGTTAATTATTTTAGAGAGCCTCGTAGTTAGATCTTGTCTTTAGTTTCTTTTCAGGGTATTATTTTTATATGACTGCCGAGTTGGCACCGTCTGTAAGCGTCAAGAGGACGCAATTGTAATTTATTACGTTGAATAAAAAGGGACTTAAACCCTTTACAAGACTCTGTGTTTTATACAGCTCTCACAGTCACCTCTTGGTTGCGTGGAAGTTGGAGGCGCGCAACGTTATAATGTGATAAAAAAGAAAAGGAATTCCAAGCGTTCCTGTGGATATTCATTAAGAAAGGTAAGCAAAATTTCACTTATCGATGTTATTAAATGTAAATAATAAGAATAAGAAATAAGATCATAAGTTGCATCACCCTTGTGTTGTTTTCTCCGGCACATTTTCGTTCGCGGTGTCTTGGTAACCCCTAGAAATACAGCCCTTCTAAAGACCATAAACGGGTTAAAGACGAAGGTCAAATGTGGCCAGTCTTTATTGTGGAGAAGGAACCAAGAGCCCGCCTCTGCGTTTTCTGCTCCTACATAAAGGATCCTTTGCAGAATAAGGATGCCAGAAACATCTTTGTACGTGTTAGCTGTTGCTTTGTTCTTTCTGGCTAACATCTTCGCTTTCCAATATTTTCTTCACCACCAGAAGCTGTAGGACAATCACTATGAGCAACTTCTTCAATGAAATTCTGCTTGTTCTGAAAACATTTAAATAATTCATTAACGTACATTAAAGATGCAGTTTCATCTCCATAAACTTGTACGAGGATGTCAAGATTTTCTTTCTTGAAATAGAAACTAGAAATTCGTCCTCTGCTTCGTTTTATGGAAACTGCAACACTTCTGTAAATTAGAATGTTGCTAACAGATATTCGTAATACTTATTCCTATGCCATACCCAGACATGCACATATACGTTAGGAGTGTATCTTCTGCACTTCATTGTTCATTACCAAGCCTATGCAGCCTATGATGTCATGCAGCGGCTTAAACTTATGTATTTTGAACCAGGAAGCTCTTTTCCTAGAAAATCTAAGATAAAGAGAAGAACTGGAAGAATTCTTACGGAATTTATTATAAACT